CCTCAAATACAACACGGAGAACAGCAATCCAATCACTCTTGATGGTGAAATTCTGGAGGATGTAGAATCCTTCACATACCTGGGAATCATCGTCGCTGAACAAGCAGGTTCAGATGCAGACGTAAAAGCAAAGATCAGCAAAGCAAGGACAGCATTCCTACACTTGAAGAACATATGGAACTCAAAACAACTTTCAACCAATATCAAAGTGAGAATCTTCAATACCAACATGAAGGCAGTTCTACTGTATGGAGCTGAAACTTGGAGAACTACAACAACCACAATCAAGAAGGTACAAGTATTTATAAATAGCTATCTTCGCAAGATACTCAACATCCATTGGCCGGATACCTTCAGCAACAGCCTTTTGTGGGAGAGAACAAATCAGCTTCCAGCTGAAGAAGAAATTAGGAAAAGACGATGGAAATGGATAACACATACTTTACTCAAATCGTCAAACTGCATCATGAGACAAGCACTAACTTGGAATTCTGAAGGGAAGCGGGAAAGAGGAAGGTCAAAGAACAAATTACGTTGGGTAATAGAAGCAGATATGAAAAGGATGTATAGGAACTGAAAGGAGTTGGAAAGGATTGCCCAGAACATGGGTGGATGGAGAATGCTGGTGAGCGGCCTATGATGCTTCACGAAGAGTAACAGGCGTAAGTAAGTAAGTAAGTACCTGTAAGACGTCGTCTTTTAACGTATGCAAGTAGCATATGACTGTATGGATATCGACACATTATAAACGTGCTACAATTGCATTGAAAAATGCTCACATCCACTTCATAATGTTGTCCGCGGTCAACCATAAACAACCAGTCGCCGCCTTCATATTACGCGTAAACCAAAATCAGTTTTTTCGTTCGTATAACACTTTAGATCTTGCGAATGGGGTCAACATATTCAGCAAGGGTATAAAAAGCTGTTGAGAATTATATTTATAAGATCTCCAAGTTATTACTTGATCTTCAATACTTTTCCTAGTTGACGTCATTTCACTCCATTTTTAAGCCTTGTACATACATTTGTACAGACTATCACTTTTCCGTACATATCGTTTTATTAGCCTTTTTAGCGACTCAACGCGATTATTCGTGCTGTTACCCACTGTTAAAACATTACCGTAAAACACATGCGCTTACATTGTCTTACGTGGCATCCAAAAACGTGATAGGTACTGGCCTATCAAACTGTCCTGCCGATTTATTATTCTGTAATATTGAATAAATCTAGTGAATGAATACACTACAAAAATTACCTCCCGACCGTTTCCGCAGTTACCAATCGAGTCAAGTACGTTTTCAGTATTTTTTCGTTTGTCTAAGGGCAATTTTATGTAAGCAACCATTGGTGTACCTTTTTCCGGAAAGCGCGAATTACATGTAAGGCGCACTGAATGATGTTTGCATGTCCGTGTGTTATACAGACAGCCGCACTTTTAGATCGTGCGCAATCCATCACAAATGCTTCTGTCAACATTGTGTTACCCATTATCTCTTTGAATTTATCTAAAAGCTGCGTCACATCGGCACGCTTTTTTTTCGTATCCACGCAAACATAACAGTTCGTCCTCGACCCCAATTGTCTGTCACCACTAACTGTAATAACGAATATCTACATAGTAAAATACAATGAAAAACATATTCACTTTTTATTATTAGTATTATACGCAGAATCAATGCACAGAACTTCTGGATATCTCTTGTACAACTGTTTTTGGTCATTACTACTGAAACATATTCTCGTAGCATACCCATTTTCTAAATGTTCTCTCACTCCGCCTCTTTGTCTCAGCATATCCATTACCTGCTTCCGATTACGACAACATGAAATATATTTATATACACTTACCAGTGGACAGTTTACCTTTCATAGCTTTGACATCGGCAGCGGTTACTTGCTTATCAGTTTTCTCCTTAATACTTTCGATAACTTCATCTGCTGACTCACAGTGCAGTATCACTGACTTCAAGTTCTCTTTTTCTTTTGATGATAATCTTCTTGTCCATGGATCACATAAAATCCATGAACTACTACATGGATGATTGTGAAGCATGTTGTAGGATTTGATGACATATCCTTGCTCCTCTAGTCTTACACGGAAACTAGATTGGCAATTACCGAATTTAGACCTTAAACATCAGATATTAGTTAAAGATCTTACGATTTTTGCTTCACTTTCAAACCTTCCGATTTCCGCTTATGACCAAACGTACAATGAAACGTTACAAACAGGTATTTGAACCTGACATCCTTTAGCAACCTGTTTTCCGTGAGGATGTAACGAGTACAATTAGTCTGAGAAGCGATAAAATTACTATTCCATACTTTTTGGAACTCTTTTAAGGCGCTATCAAAATCATCTCAGCACGCGAAATGTTTGTTCAGTATCATACTTCGAAAGGCATAGCTAAGGTCGACTGAAATGTCGCTTGAGCATGCAGCACTACAAACAGACATGATTAATTATTAAAAAATTATTCCTTGCAAAAATAATAACTCAAGTAAATAATACAAATACTTAGGATTTACCTGTGACTTGACATTTCGTTGAGGTTTACTACAGTTTTTGGGATCACAGATCAAATTACAAAGTAACAACAGAGCCACAGTGTACACTACAAAACAGAGAACGCTAAATTAATGCTTTTGGTAGTTATTTCGTGCTTTTTTATGCGGCATGAGATGACTTATATATGAAAAAACATGATACTCATGCAATCCAACCAACCCATGACAATTGAAATACGGAATGACCGCCTCTAGTCAGCCCGTTCAAGGTCGCTGAAACGAAAAACGGCACATTCGAAAGGATCTGGCTGTTTTCTCATTTACATCATACGAGTTAATAAGTTTGGTTACTTCGAACTATGAGCATTATTCGAGATTCAGATAAATTAATTGTCCAATAATAGAGAATAAGCTGCACAAGATGAATATGTAAATGTAGTTAAGAATCACATTTTAACATGCTTTTATAAGTTCATGTACAGATAATTCTAGGATATTTCGAGATAATCTTCACCATGTGGTCTAACAAAATTCTACTACGTTCAGGAAGAGATGATGTGTTGGCTGAACTCATTAGACCATGATTACAATTAATCGTAAAATAAAGATTAAGTAAAGTGGTAGAAAAACCTTGGTTGTCAAGACAGGTGAAGACGAACCACTGAATTCTAATGTTCAGTTTTAAGCTTCGCAGTTGGTATGGCTTCAGCAAACCTCAATACCGTAGATTAGGGCTGTTGAATTTTTTGAGTGGATTCACTGCACTGACCTAATGTCCTGTTCTAATTTGTTTTCATGCTATTGAAATAAGAGAAGTTATTGTCATTACATGGTGAAGATTACCTCGAAATGTCCTAAAATTATCTGTACATGAACTTATAAAAGCCTGTTAAAATATGATTCTTAACTACATTTACATATTCATCTTGTACAGCTTATTCTCTATTGTCGGACAATTAATTTATCTGAATCTCAAATAATGCTCATAGTTCGAAGTAACCAATTTTATTAATTTGTATGGTGTAAAGGGAAAACAGCAAGATCCAGTGAATCTATTACATTCTGCAACTTATATCGCTCTTGCTTTATTAGATTTTGTAAGACAAGCCGTCTAAGTGAAATAATGAAGTTAATAATTTTACTGAGAAGTCGTTCGTTGATTTCATAGTGAATTCTTACGGTTCAAGGAACTTATTGACTTATTTAAATAGCAGTGGGTCGTTGGGACTGTGATTTTGTCATATGATTAAATTAAAGGTATCCGGAATTTGTGTTGGGGTTCAAATGCGATTTAAATATCCTTACTAACTCGACATTGTGGTGTCTGAAATCGAGAATTTGGAGTGTAAGGACTTAGAAGTAACTAGAGTTAGTAATGCGTACTCAGAATATTGTTTTTATGAAATACACCTATTATGTTTTGTCAGATTTGACTCGGTGGATAGTAGGAGGGAGCTAATATCAATCTTTTTAAGCTCTAATCATCATATTATTAAGAAAACTGATTATAAGGGGCTTCGTCGTATTTAAATTTTAATGTGTAACTTTATTATTTCAAGTTTCAGTTATATCCAGATGTATTTCTTAATTGAACGGAAGTAGTGTACATATATTCAGGACTTCAACTTCGGTTGCTTGATTTAACACGGAAGATCCCCGATCACTTTTATCACTCGTAAGTAGGGAAGCCGAACCTAATCGAACATTGTTTATTAGTGTTAGGCATATAGTTATAAATAAGGTAACTGTTCCGGTTAATTGAATAGGACTGAGGTAATTGGAAATTTGTATATATGTTTTCTCACCTCGTCGTTCCATAGTAACTGTAGTGCATACGAGATAGTAAAAGCATCACGAGAACCAAATAAAAGCGTACAATCAGTTTCTTCATCCAAGTTGTACTGGTGCAGGGGGTACTATGTATTTAATGTGACTCAGGGTTTAGAACCTAAAACATGTACAAGATCACTTAGTTTCCACAAAGCTGTCATTCCATGATTACGTTTAATATTAAAGCCGACAATTTCTGTAAATGATCTATCTTTGTAAGGCTTCACTGATTGGATAGCATTATTTTTCTTTACACATCGACTAAACGTCAATGTCATATGTAGCTATTAATCTATCTTTGTTACATTTATATTTGTTACAATAATTGCCACTGTTGTTTTTGTATCCTTTGATCAATTTTTTTGCTTCAGTCCATTCACCTCCCCCCTCTTCCATCTCTCCGTGAAATCATCCATGTTTATGGTATTCGAGCTCAGAAACAGTTATCTCAAAATTTTCTTTTGCAATCATCATCTATAAATGGACTAGTCAAATGTGCAGGGAACCTTCGTGGTGCATATGTTCTCGAAGTTGGTCCAGGTCCTGGCGGGATTACTCGGGCGATTCTTCAGAAAGCTCCACGTTATGTTGCCGTCGTGGAACTAGACAGAAGGTTTATTCCTGGTCTTCAGGAATTACGGCTTGCTGCTTTAGAAATGGGGATCCAAATGGATATATACAGACAGGTATATTTATTGCTCGATATGTGCAGGTGATTGTCATTATTCTAGTTTTTAGTTATTATGCTTCCAAACTTTCGTCACTTATTCTTACTTCGTTCTACATGTTCAACAATAGATACCCAACGGATACCTCCTACACCAACGTATATGTACCACTTCAATACATAGATGTTTTCACTAAATAATGCATTAGGCAAAACGGAAAGAAAATCCAGTGAAGACACAGTATTAGGAAGTAAACTAATTGGTTGACGTATAAATCAAGATAATGATTTTAAAGTATATCCTAATGTCTACATTAGGGAAAAAATTTTTGGGTGTGCCTTTGAGGTCTTGGTTGTGAATCACGTTTGATAATGTCTTAAGGCATTAAAATGTATAATCCCTGTGACCATCATGAGAGACCCAAATATACCAATTTAATACAACTCTGTCAGCACCCGACGTCATCTTTCTGACGATCAAATCCCTCCCTTACCTCTTAATAATTCTTCCATTCCTTTGACTAACCTGTCTCGCATATCTTTATCACGACGCTTCACCAATACTGATGATTTGAGTCCATGATATATTATCCCTGGTCTCCTGAGACCATGCTTCGAACATTGTTTTAAATAGGAAAATAGGCTCATTTAGCCAGGACTCTAGAATCTCGTGCTATCGATATTTGCTACATCTCTTAAACGCGCATACAGGATCCAAGTAGTCATTCACTTGACCTGACCTTGTTAATATAAAGAGCCGGCACGATTTACTCTTGGAGTACATGGAGACTCCACTGATACTTCCCGTGGCCTCTGGTACATGTATATCACTAAGTTTTGAAGTAGAATAGGGTTTGTTAGACTGAATTCCAATAGACTCACTTTTGCGCTGTTCGATCAAACAGAACAGTAGAAACTCGAAAATATAAGGACACATGCTGTTGCTTTTTCGTTGTCTCTGTCTACGCTCCCATTGATTGCAACTCGGACGAAATTTCGTAGGAAGTTATCGAACCTCCTAAAAGCCGAACGCTCTGATGTAGTAATAATGAAAGGCGATTTTAATGCTCATGTAGGCAAACTAAACCAAATTTAAATGGACCTAGGCAGATCTTACAGTGTTGCGGCTCAGAGGACAGATAATGGCGATCGTCTGTCGCAACCATGCTCAGATAATCTTCTGTTTCTGGTAAACACTAACTTTCGACATAAGAAGAAACATCGTTTGTTGTGGCGACCCCCACAATCGACTCGTCGATGGACTCAAATAGATCGCATTGCCATTGGTGATCGTTGAAGGGGTTCGATAGATGACTATCGCTCATTGTAGAACACATGTTTAGACTCGGATCATTCTCTAGTTCAAGGACGTATTCGTTTGAATCTTACTGGACGTAGAAAAGCCACATGAAGTCAACCCTTTAGAGTTCAACTTAATAATGATTAAGTTAAGAATATATTTCAGTAACAACTATTGGAGTTAATCAGCGGTGAAAGCGATGTCCATCCCAAGGTAGCTTGGCATGGTATTCAAGAAGCTGTGGAAACAGCAGTGATATCTACCAGTAACTTAAATCAAAAGGTCAAGGGAAATCGGTGAATTTCAACGGCGTCTATAAAACTGATAAATGTTCACGTCAAGGAACAGTTCAACCAGCTTTCAACCACACTTCAGTCCAAGCAACCTGAATGCCAAACTGATGTAAGTCTTGCGAATCTTGGTGGGGTTGGAAAGGCTATAAGCAATCCAGAACGAGGCAGAGCACCAGGGCCTGATGGACTAATCCCTGAAAATTTTGAGTATGGTGGTTCAGCCTTGTCAGTTAGATTAGCTGAAATCTTGGTTAAAATTTGAAAACGAGATGTAATCCCATCTGACTGGTCTCAATCAGTGATCGTCCTAGTCTATAAGAAAGGAGAAAAATTCACAAAGGAATCAGTTTCACCAAGTGTGTTTGAAATATTAGCCTTAATAATACTTAGATGTCCAACTTCAGCTCATAAGGACCGAATTCGAGAAGATCATGCTGGTTTTAGACCTGGATGTTGATGTATAGACCAAAAACCACACCCCTGTAGGTTCTGGAACATAGAAATACTTTTCGACATCCGACTACAATTGTATTCTTTAACCTGAAGGCGGCGTCTAACTCCGTTTACTGTGAAGTCCTGTGGCGGTGTTTGTCAATGAAAGGCCTACTAAAGAAATACGTTAACGTTGTATAGGCTCTCTACTGGAACACTACTGGCGAAGTCTTCGTCCCAACCAAAGGACGAGTTTGCTGCACACCAGGTTGCTCCGTTTCACTTTGTGGATGTGAAATATGGCCACTAAGAATGGAGGACATTCATAAGTTACTGGTATTCGGTCATAGGTATCTTGGAAGCATTGCTCGTGTATTTTGGGATCACGAAGTCAGCAATGATTGGGTTAGGAACAGAGTACTAGGTAAGGATAGGAAATCGACTGATGAGGTAGTAAATCTTCATCAACTGAGGTATTTAGACATCTGCTACGTATCTTAACGTGTTTTTTGTTGCAGGAGTAAGCTGGAAGAAAGCTATGGGTGGCCAAACCAAAACATAGCATCAGTCCATGAAGTCGCTAACAATCTGAATTGGCCTTGTTATTAGGTAAAGACTACCTGGTTAGGGTCTGCGTGTCTATCATAACCAATGGTTAGAGACTTTGAATGACATTGCTCGAGATCGTTTGCAATGGCGCAGGTGTATCCGTTCTTTGTCTTCCTCCATGTTCTGAAATTCTAAAGTCTCTCATAACTCTTTTTTGTCTTTATTCCACTAATATATATATTCCTATCGATTGGTATGTTCGATACCTAATCTTTTCTACTACAACTGATTCTGTTACTACTACTATTCTGGGATTCGGCCTGACGATTTCATCTGTCTGTGCTAGTGGGGTATCGTAACTTGAATTGACGTACCACGTTCTGCGCTGTGATTGACAGGCTGATCCCAATTTTCGCACGCACCTCATGCTCGGATTGACAATTTTTTCGAGTGGTCCACTATTTTTAGTTGTTGCTCTGAATTCAACACCCTGATTGTCCATTATAAGTAAAGTGAGTAACCTACTCGTTTACCATGGGCTATGACAATACCATTCAATCGGATACCACACAAGCGAGTGTCGATTGGAACACACTTTAAAGTGCATTCATTGCTTGAAATTATGATGTTGCATTTGGATGTGCTCAATATAGAAATATTTCTGTAGAATCTCAAGTATGCGGGGTAAATTGTTTGCGTTAAGTTGATTTGCCGAAGGAATATTCAAAGCCTTACCCCCTGTGTTTAATCAGATCTAGACGATTCATGCTATAAAGTTCAACATAATTGCTCCCTTGGTTAATATTCTAGTGAACGACAAATACGAATTCGTATATGCGCACCTTCAACATATTAGACAGTTTGAACCCGTGGTTAAATTCATCAACATTCATTACTGATTACAATCACAGCTTTACTAACATTTCTATCGGGATATCCAAGTACAGTACAGCAAGGTTGCTTTTTCCATCTAAGTTCACTGTACATGGGGAAGACTACAGTGATCAACAAACTATCAACAATGTTATGCGGCAGATAGAAATTTTAATTTGCAAGCTTGTTATTCGGGTACATTAGCTTTCGTACTGCTAGCAGATGTCATAATGGCACTTGACAGTCTAACGGAGTCACTATTCTATGCAAAAATTGAAGAAGTTGAAGTTTTGGAAAAATATTTTGAAGACACTTGGATCGGAAGATTAACAAGATGCGTATGCCGCAACGACCCAGTGTTTTGAATTACACGGTGAATCGTTTACAGTTCTGTTATAGGTCATGAAACGAACAGGACTGTCGAAGGTTAGCATAGAGGATTTAATAAACTCATTGACACTGCTCATCGAAACAAATGGGAATTCATTAATACTGTAAAATTAGGAACACAAGTTAAGTGAATAGAAAATCGAACAACTCGTCGGGACCTGGTAATAACACATATGAAGGAAATACAGGGACATATCAATGCGTATTAAACAGGTCCTAAGAGATCATGTAAACAGATCAATCCTAGACTATTAACACGAAATAGCACATAATGTGTATTCGTATATCTGGACGTTAAATTGTGTCATTATAAAAACAAGAAAATGTAACATTTACATAATGTTTATGAATCTTTTGATTATCTTTCTTGATTTTCTGTACTTAGTCAGTTTTTGTATAAATGGCATTGATTTGCTGTATTTTTAACTCGCCGTTATTGATATGTACCTTTTTACTCCTACCCTTATCGGAGCAAACTGTCATAATAGTCTTAGATGATACAACTCATAATCAGTTGCAATACCACACATGCATTCATTTTCTTGTTGTTGATTTTAAAAGTTTTATCAATTCATTTGCTTCTAGTTCTTACTTCATGTTTGTTTTCAATATCTTTCCATTTTCGTTTACTTTCTTTTTCCCGTATAAAGTGCAACTACATAAACCTACACACCTTTATGGTATTCTCTATTTTCTAGAATATATAAAGTAAAATAATAGTTTATATCTTCAAATGTAAAAAGTCTATTGTGATCATAATTTCATGTTCTTTCAAATCGTAGAATTAAATGCTTGTTATTATTTTATCTAGAATTACTAGTTAATGAAATTTATGCCGTGAAATCAATCATTTACACCAATATTTCTTGTCCGAACTCGTGCGACAAAACACTTTTTTATAAAATGAATGTTATCGGTATAGTTGAATTCATTTATCACTGTATAATTGCGTATTTCTTTGCAATTTTCTTTATAACCAAAATTTTAAAGCATCTTAGAAGTATTCATGCATCCCGTTGATTGTGGTTCTTTGAACGAATTGAGTTGATTTCCAAACTTAATTTTTATACTTCATAAAATAAATAGCCTTTCAGTTTGTGTGAAAAATTAGTTTATCGGTATTAGATTATTTTATTACCATACTGAAATCTTCTTGAAATATTTATTAACAGTAATGTTCGAGGATTCTATCTCCTGAAAATATCCCAATTCCTAGGTGGACGTTTCACAGTTACTTGTCTGTTATTTACCCCTATTTAGCATTCGCTCGTAAAATAACTAGTTTCTTTAGAATTTGTATGGAAATCTAGTCTTCAAAATTATTCTACTGAAAGCTGTAGGATTGGAATATGATGATTTTACCTTTTCTGATATATATATATATATATATATATATATATATATATATATATATATATATATATATATATATATATATATATATATATATATATTGGCGATGTTTACTTCTTCCTGCCAGTTAACTAAATAATTAAGGTCAATGAAGGTACATGTGTTTTACATCACTGTCTAACTAGGGTTAGTGTTTTTAGTTCTCGGCGAACCAGTTAATGCTTGTTTTGGACTGCTTAGCAGAAAAATATAATTTTTTGTTCAACATTTTATCTCTACCGTTTGATAATGTAATTATTTTCGAACTTTGTTTTGTATATATAATTTGCAGGATATTCTAAAATTTAATTGTGAAGGTATTTTTCCCGTCAGTTCTATGACTGGTGCAGGAGCATGGGAGGAGTCACCTGAGGTGGCAAACTCAAATTTAGTAGAATCTACATCAATAAATCGAAATGAAACTGCACTAGAAAAAATAGGTTCACCACGCTTGTGTGTAATTGGAAACTTACCATTCAATATTTCTACTCCTTTGATTTCTCAATGGCTTCATGATATTGCTGAGCGACGAGGAATTTGGCGATATGGACGAGTCCCTTTGACATTGACTTTTCAAAAAGAAGTTGCTGAACGACTTGCTGCGGATGTATGGGATGAACAGCGTTCCCGCTTATCTGTCATGTCACAAGCATACTGCGACGTAAGGATTTTATATAAAGGTTTTCGTATACTGTTTTTGTCCCTATCTTTTTCCGTCATTAGTTATATCCAAAGAAATTAAAGATATCTAATGTATAATAATCCTAAAGCTGACAGATAAGTGTTTTGTGATATTTGAGTGTCAGTATGAATTCATTTTTCGCCTGTAATTTTTTTTGATGTGTTGTGAAATTGTGTTCGGTTAACGACTAGATTGCGTGAGTACTGCCTAATGTTTATAGCGATTTATCTGGACACTTGACTTTCAATTGGTTTGGTAACAAGTTTTAACCTTATTCCTTCATACTGAGATTTCGAACAATCAAGTGATGTCACTACTTATAACTCAGTAGGACTCAATAGTCTGAAATAAAAACATATAGAACGTTGTTTAGTCATATACTTCATTGTTTTTGTGCAGTTCTTTAGTTATAATTATTTGATTTACCGTCCATAGTTTCTTATTTTCAGAACAGTTTTATTAATTATCCCCAAAGTAAGACTGGCCTTTTTTGTTTGATGGTTCGAATTTGCATTGTCTTCATGTATTATAATTTGTTCATTTTTAATCTTTGAAATGTAATAGGTTAAATACATGAAGGATATTCCAGGTACTGCTTTTGTTCCTCCACCAAAAGTAGATGTTGGTGTTGTTCGTCTAATTCCTTTAAAACAACCGCTTATTCCTGTACCGTACCCGTATGTTGAAAAATTGATACGTCAAGCATTTCACTTTAGGTAAGGATCACATATTTTCTTGTTATGTTACAGTTTATTGAAATTTATTCTTCCAAAGTAATAGTGCATGTATAGTAATCCAACTTTTCTGTACACGCTTACTAATTACAATGTAATATAATCTGTTGTTAAAGTGTTTACCGAAAGAAATTAAAACTCAGAGATAAATGATCGTTATGTCTATTCCTTGCGGTGCGGGTATTTATCAGCATTGATTTTCACTACTTTCAGCCACTATAATTTCTTTGATCAGAAGCAATAAATTGTAATTTTTTTCCGAACTTCTCACAGTTTCTTATTTGATTGATCTATTGTAACCAATTTACGAAGTATAACTATACACAGCTGCGAATCATCATCTTCAAATAAACAATAAACTAACAATTTTTTTCGATTACATTTATCTTTAACTCCAGCGTACCATTTCATAGACTGATCATTTCTCTACCTTTTCAATCCAGTCATAGCGTCACTAATGCACAGTATAGTGGAAATGACGTATAAAGTACTGTGAGCAAAAGTTATTGTTCCTGTTGTTCTGTTTATAGTTACACCATAAAATAACTATTCGTTTTCTTGTCTGATCGTAATACGTACACTGTCCATCTTGATTACTCCGTAATATATATTTATTAAATGAATGCTTATTTTTTTAAGAAAAATAAAAGTTGAGAAAGGTTCATAGGATGAATACTTTGAAAATTGTTGTCAACTACATTATGTATATCACTACTAAATAGAGTGAAATATGTATTTTCTAACCAACTTCACTCTATTGGTCAGAATGCGGATGAATACTAGTTAAGCCTATAATATAATATTATATAATATATTATTATAGATTAGGTAGTAATTTCAATTTCGAAACACTTATTTTCCATGTAGACAAAAGCAAATAGTTCGATGTCTTGAAACATTGTTCCCTTCTAATAGACCTGAACTGGTCATTCAGTTATTCAAAGAAGCCGGTGTGCAACCAGCCAAACAGTGTATACAGGTTAGTTTGGTAGTTCTTTTATTTTATATAGTTTGTGTATACATATCCTTGGGTCTTAAGTGGCTTGTATTTGTCATACCACACTATCAAAACCTATCTCGATTACGGCAAGAAAGATGCTCTCTAACCTCTGCTTCCTGAATGATCTATCAATTATTACCGGTTTATTTTCAATACCTTTTGTTCATAAAGTTGCTAGCGATGGTCATAATTATAATAATATATTCAGCAATCAATCCTCTTATTTTTGCTCAAACCTCTAGGCGACCAGTCAATTTCTTTTTGTGGACTTTACTGACATTCAACTTTCACGAATTATATATATTCGATATCACTTACCACAGAAACGATTAATGAAAGTTCTGTGTTACTTTGATGATACTATGTCAAGTTATGGAGTTTTGTAGTGAGTTTTCCTGAAATCCACATAATTAATGAGCAGTTTCAGCTTAATTTCTTATGTTATGCCCATTTCCTCTGAACTTTCACAATTGGTTCTCTTAGTGATAACTCCTCAAACTATAACGATTTTTCTGGTGATGAATGATCGGTCATTTCAATATACACCACGATTTCGATTATGTATAGTCTATAGAAATGTAGTCTTGTACATTTCTTAAGTAAGTTACTTGAGGGTCTAATGTGTATTTAGTTTTCACAATATAAAATAATATTATTGTACCATCATGTTTTTATTTATGATTTGATAGTACGGATTTAACAACTATATCACGTTATCGTACTAGTCATAGTTAGAGGGTTACAAAGAAGTTTCGATTTCAATGAATATAGCACATTATTCACTAAATTACCTATGGGTTAAAGGGTTTTAGTGTTTCTAGCAACTTGGAGCTATGGGGCATTGTTTTGGTGGAATGACTTTCAACTCTGAGGTTTCGATTTGAAACCATACTCCTTCTCTACAGTAATTTATCATAATGACAAAAATCTTTACTGAGTTTATACAATATGGTGTTACATATGAATCATATCCTAAATAAATGTTCTATTTTTATTTCCTCCAAACAATTTACAGTTAACAATGTCAGAATTTCGAGATTTATGCTCTGTATATCATCGTATTTGTCAGATTGAACCTGATGTATTCGATTTTGATTATCAAACCCGAACTAACTTACCATTGTGGTATAATCGTAAGAAAATTCAACGAGAATTGTTAGACAGTCCAACTGGTCTTACGGCCAATCGTGTTCGTCAAGAAATATATGGATTCAGTCAGTAATGGCTATACTCTTTTGTTATTATCATATTGTAATCGATTCTTTGATCAACAATTCATTTATATAACTTGTGAATAAATATACTTCTTCCAATATTTTGAAGTGATTGAATATTTTATGATGAATCAATCATGCATACTTGATACGTAAATATGTGAATTGTTGTCTCTTGTTTATGAACTATTAATGAAGGATACTTTAAAGAAATTAAATTTATCAACTGTATATATGGCCAGTAAAAATTTTCAGCAACGAACTTGTCGTTTATTGCTGTTGAGACATTGCTTTACTCTTGAGCGTTTACTGAATCCACAGATTTGACAATGTATATGTAGATAGATGATTTATGTACTCGACGTTTTACTGTTTATTAGCACAATTAAATTCCTTTTTATCTACATTTGAAATTTAGGTAACCGTGTAGTATTTGTAGTCTTCAAAACCTACCGCACGGTCTGTTATTTCATTGTGTTATGAATTTCAGTTTCATAAAAACATTAGACTTAGAGCAAATATTGATTAGTGTCCCAATCCTTCTGTATTCATGCTGAACCATCCCATCTACCATTACCCATATTCAGTGATTATTTGGACCATGTCAAAGGAAACCTTTCCTATGTGCAAAACAAAGGCATTTCTATATCTTTTATGAAGGTGACAATTAGTATGTTACTCAAATTTTCTCATTAGATATTATCTAAATTATCACTGAGTAAAGTAGTTAGATGTAGTGTAAATCACTCATATTTGAAACTTCTTATTTCACGTAATTGTCGTTACTTAGTTGTAAAGTCAAGTGGAAACAATTAGTTTATTATTAAACCACTGGTTTATCGCTTTTAAAGATTACAATCCGGATATTGTGCAGTCAGTCAGCTACAACGTAGGACCAGGCACATATGTGCATCGGTCCAGGTTGCCATACCTCATTAGCACAGCAAGATGAACACCGGATTCATAGGAGTGGTTAGGTTAAAGGTGGTAATATATAGAAGAAAGATTGCAATAAGGATATAGTATAGGAAGAAAGAATTAGTTAGTAGAAAGAGAAAGATATGAGGTGATTTTAATCTCTTAGTTTAAGGGGAGACAGAGAGTGTATACACCGACGCCATTGTGACCGATTCTGAGCCATGTCACCAAGAGTCTCCAACCATTGGTTACGAAAGTCACGCGGACCCCAACCAAGTAGTCTGCATCTACCAACATGGCTCAGACTAGAAGTTAGTGACTTCAAGCACTGATGCCACGTTTTGGTTTGGCCGCCCCTAACTTTCTTCCAACCATCTCTAACACCCGTCAGCATTGCACGACGTGGTAATCGGTGTTCAGGCATACGTAACACGTGGCCCAATCATCTCAGTCGATGAAGATTCACAACCTCATCAACTGACTTACCATCATTCCCTAATACCCTGCGCCTAACCTCACTATTACCTACCCGGTGGTCCCAACAGACGCCAGCAATATTTCTAAGGCATCTGTGGTCAAATACTAGTAGCTTACGGGTGTCTTCTACTCTTAAAGGTCATGTTTCGCTGCCGTAAAGTAAAACAGAACGAACTGCTGCGCAGTATACTCGTCCTTTTATTGATAGACGGATATCTCGCCTTCGCCAAAGATGACGTAAGTTAGCAAAAGCCAAACGAGCTTTTCGAATCCGTGCTGAGATTTCGTCCGATACCAACCCATTAGGGCTGATCAGACTTCCAAGATAAGTGAAGTTGTCAACGCGTTCGACTACTTCACTCCCTATCCTTAGTTCAGGTGTTGACGCAGACCAGTCCTGAAGCAACAACTTGCATTTAGAGGGAGAGAAGCGCATTCCAAATATTCTGGCATTGTTGCTTAGTGCTACCAGAAGACTGCATTTTGTCAGCGTCTTCACCAAACAGGACTATGTCATCTGCGTATTCTAAGTTGATAAGTGGACCTCCTGGTAGGAGATCAATACCCGAGGATTCAGTCGACGAGAGTGTTATTTCCATCAGTAGGTCTATGATGAAGTTAAACAAAAATGGAGAAAGTGGACAGCCTTGACGGACACCACTTGAGGATGCAAAACTAGATGACAGTTCGCCATAAGCTCTGACTCGACTAGTAGTGTTCGAGTAAAGAGCCTTCATAAGGTTTATGTACTTCTGAGGTACGCCTTTCAATGACAGACTGCCACAGAATCTCGCGGTCTACCGAGTCAAATGCTGCTTTTAAGTCAAGAAAGACCACCATTGTCGGACGTCGATAAGTATGCCTGTGTTCTAGAACCTGATGAATGGTGAATATGTGGTCGATGCAGCCACGACCAGGTCTGAAGCCAGCTTGGTTTTCTCGTGTTTGCAGTTCACGAGTCTTAGTTAGGCGTCTGATTATTATTGAGGCTAGTATTTTAGATATTATATTAGTTAAACTAATCCCTCTGTGGTTGTCACATGATGATTTTGACCCTTTCTTATATATTGGGACGATAAGTGATGGCGACCAGTCAGATGGAATAACATCTAACTCCTAGATCTTAGCTAAAATATTAGTCAACCTAACCGCTAAAATTGGACCACCATCCTTAAAGACTTCTGGAGCCAATCCATCTGGACCAGCTGCCCTTCCTCGTTTCAGATTAACTATAGCATTTTGAACTTCTGCTAGAGTTGGGGGACCTACTTTAATGTTCCATTCACACTGTCTGTGAATGGACGGTAGTTGTAGAGTCGCTGAAGACCAGCTGAACTGTTCCCTAAAGTGTTTCGCCCATCGTTCTAAACGTCTGAACTGGGAGTAGATAAGAGTATCGTCTTTTTCCGAAATAATCTCACTTACACTTGACTTATTAATTCCAGTTTCTTTTATTAGTCTGTAAAGCTGTCTTGTGTTCCCTATAGTCGCCGCCTTTTCCATCTCTTTTGCTTTCGTTGCCCACCACTGCTCACGGTCGTTTCTTAGACTTTTTCTTAACCTAGATCTGGTTTGTTGTCGCTCTTCATCATGTTCAGAACCTGATGGGACTAGTTTGCGAGAATCCATCAGTGTGATAGACTTTGAAGAAATCCACTGGTTCTTTGTAACTCTGTGGTTTAAGTCACTAATAGATTTCATTGCTGTTTCCACAGCTGTTTGTATATCTTTCCAAGCAACATCTTGGTCAGCCTCGTTTTCAGAACTACCTAAGTGTGACCTCAGTTGTTCCTGGAACCTACTTTTGGTTTTCTCGTTACTCAACTCAGTTCAAATGGGTCTTTTTAATGTGGCTTTTTTGCGTCCAGTGAGGCGCAAGCGGATGCGTGCCCGTATTAGGGCATGGTCGGAGTTCAAGCAGGTATTCCAGAATGAGCGACAATCTTGTACCGACCCTCTCCAACGATGACCGATGGCAATATGGTCTATTTGAGTCCATCGTTGGTTTGGTGTAGGGGGTCGTCATGTTAGACGATGTCTTTCCTTATGCTTAAAATTTGTGTTTGCTAAAAATAAACGATTGTCTGAGCATAGTTGCAGCAGACGATCACCATGATCTGTTTGCTGTGCGGAATACTAAAATATCCACCTAAATGCTATTCTGTTTGGTTCAAACTAACTATCTGCGCATTAAAGTCACCTGCTACGAGTACTATGTCTGAACGTTTAGCTTTCTGAAGAAGTTCAGATAGCTTTCTATAAAATTCATCTTTCACTTCATCTGAGCTGCAGTCAGTGGGAGCGTAGGCAGAAACAGCAAAAAGACAACGACGTGTGTCCCTGTCCTTCCGAGTTCTTATGTAGCCGTTGTGCAAGTTTAAATAGAAAAATGGTATTATCTTGTCACGCGAACTGTAGTGAGTAGAACGGAGTTCCAACCTATCTAGTATCTGTAAAGCGAGCACTAACTAACAAGTCACCACTTCATTGCATTGATCGTTGTAGAAACTGATTGTATTAACAGACCGTTCACTATCAGTCAACATCCAACATAACATCGAAAGTTTTATTACTCTGAACATCTTACATCTGCAAAAAAGCATCATTCAATAATATTAGTTGGATACAAACAATTGTAGTATTATACATCTAATATATTTGTTTGCTTTGATTATTCATCAGCATTTTGAAAGATTACTTAGCATCATTAAGTTGTAAATATCGACTTGATCATAGTTTCATTTTAAGCCATACACACGGTATATTCCATTTTCTTGTTTAATTTTTTATTCAAAATTATAATAAAAATAAAATTTTCTTAATATTTCTTTTATATGTAGCTATTTTCAAAAGTAGTTAATTCAGTAATAAAGTCATTTTCAAAAAAAAAAACTGTACAATAATATTATATATGTATTATACGATAAATAATATGATTCTTTTGTTGATTATATAATGAATTAGAGTCATATAACAGATTATATCTAATCTTTTTTTTTTTAGTTAAGTTCATAATTCAATTTTAAATTAATCTACCGTTTTAACCAATTTAATGAAACGGATTCCATGATGATGATGATGAGGATGTTGATGATGTTGATGTCAAACAAGTGAGTAAAATTTTCTTTTCTGATATCATGTATAGAAAGAAATATACATGTGTTTATTGTTTCAAAATATATTCAAAGATAAAAAGGAATATTATCGTTTCTTTTATATGATTATGTAATGTTTATTGTTCTTTTCTATAATTATGCTAAATCATGTAATAAACTTTTTTTTTTATTTATGAGGTTAATGATGAATAAGTTAAAGTATAATTAGGATTTAAATAAATATTCTGTTCATTAGGTAATTTTTTCGATAAATTATTATTAGAATAATTATCATTAGATTGAAATGATTCAAAGATTATTTCGTTCAAGGAATTGTGTGGATATTGATTTTCAACTAAATATTGATTATAGTCATTTTTGTCAAAATACAATGATTGGTTAGTTGTTATTTGATTGAAGTTCATGTTAGCCCATTCATTTTCTGTACATATAATGGTATTGTATTTCTCTGGATAAATAATGGTAAAATGCATAGTGGTAGTTTAATATATATTAATAATAACAATAGAGCAACTATATCTCATCCAGTAACCTACAATTAATTATCAAAATACAGTGATACCTAATGAGAGGCTGGGTATTTCAGTGCTTAGTGAAGATAATTGAGTTAAGTGGTTAACATGTCTTTTTTTCAATCAGCAGTTTATTGAAGGAGGGGAATTTATTGATCGAAATTCAGTTCGTTTATTCGTAGGTTAATTGAATTCGATTCCCAGATCTGCAGTCGTAGAGAAGCACTTCTGAGATGTCTCATACTAGAACAAAACGGTGATTTAGTGCCCTACAACGTTTTAAAAGTTGTCTAACTTACATCGGTTCTTGATCTCAATATTTTACCCTTTGTTAAGTCGGGACAATAGTTTGTGCTTCAAAGCAAAATGTTATTCTACACTATTAAAACAGCTGGTCGAAAGATTGGTTTTTACATACTTTTTTATTAGTTTTTCGTAATTAGTACCATTTTCATATCTCACTATAATTTTCACGAACTGGCATAAGCTAGTTCGTCCAAATTTGAGGGTATTTGTCTGAAAACCCTTAGCTCCCTCAGAGAGTACGATAATTTTTAGTAAGTATGATAATCAAGTAAGTGGTGAATACTGCATGATATTATCAGCAAAGATTTATCTACTCATCTATCTCTTGTTAATTTCATACTATACATAAAATGAGTAAGGCCACTGAACCAATAAGTACTTTATGAAGCATTCATCAATCTCAACGGATTAATTTTGAAATGATGAAACACTAGCGTACTGAGTCGGCGTGTCAAAAAATTCAAAGCCATTAAACAATCTGTGATTATTTATTATTGCTTTCTGCTACAAGAACTCTTTGGTTCAGGAAAATTATGCTACTGAAAATCCTTCGTCTAGATTGGAGTTCTTGTTTCTGAAACTAAGATAACTTCCTATGAGTAGAATTTTATTTCTTATTGTTATCGATGTCGTTGCAAACCTTGTGGTTGACTAGTTTCAAAGTGCTATGAATTTTTACCGTTAGATAAACCATTTACAAATTTCGAAAAGGTAGTACACTGATTGATTGCCATCAAATTTTGTTAGTTATAATTTTTCACAACCATTCGATCGAGTGTCTTAATTAATGAGTAGTCAATCACAAGTGCTAAAGTTATGCCTCTGTACTAGTCCTTTTAATTTCATGAGAAAAAGTCTATACCTACTTTACTGTTGGAATTATGTCAATATTAATTGTTTCTACAACACAGTAACCATATCCAGGCTTGTTTTCTTTGAATACACTCTGGCAAAGTGAAGTTTTTAGCCTGTGACTAAATTTTTGTAAATCGAAGGTTTAAGCCATCAGGTCACTTTTGCTTTTGTCAACCAAATACTTTGAATAATTATTGTCTTTCAAATCCTTAGTGTTATCGTCCATGTAGAAGACATGCTTTGTTTTTGTTTCCAACTTGAATCTAATAATAACCCTATTGTTAACTCACAGATCTATTGAATAAACGACTTGATGTCAAAGCTGACTGAATCCTAATTTGTTTATGGTCATCGGATATTGACAGTTACGGTAGTTCTGATTTGCCTCACAACACTGATTTAGTCAAATCCCTATCGACATTAAACAGGCAACAAAACTATTGAATGAACGAGGGTGAGGCTTTTAGTTTATAACCAGGTATTTTCTCAATTTTGTCCATTATTCAGGAATACGTCAATATAATGTACGGACGGCTTCATCCGGAGTTTAGTTCTCATGATTGAAAGTTGGAGACCTGTTAAAACCTGGTTAGCAATTAAAAGTTGTGTCATTCTTACTCGCTAATTTTCAACCACACTAACTTCAACATATTACCCGTCGCGAGGGCATAGTGCACTGGCCTGGTGTTTCCATCCAACTGTGTTCAGAGCTCTCGTTTACAGACTAGTCCTAGTGCTATTCATGATCTTGATCTCTGAGTCAAGTTCGCGGCACTATTTGTTCTTTGGTCCGCGTCTTCTCCTTTTATCTAGTAGTTTACACAGTATGTGTTCTATTCAGTTCATGTTCTTTTCTAAACTTTTTGTGCATAAATTTGTAAGGGAAAATGATTAGGTCTTTAATCGTATTGTTACAAGTGTACAGATTTGCAGGTCTCTCACCATTCTCGTTTTTCTCGGTCCATATCTCTCCATAATGCGTTCATATTCGGTATTGTTCGTCTCGACTTTGGGGTTCAGGTCTTCATCAGGATAATAAGGTCCTTTCTTAGGTATTACTTTAGGATGAACTGTGAACTCATATAAAAAAGAACTTTATCGTTTCCACTGCTATCATTGGTGAGCGCATAGCACTGAATGACATCCGTTGTAATCACATCCTTCATCGTTTTGAAGGATGCTTTGGTCATTTTGGATCCATGAGATCTCCATCCTGTAAGTGCTTTTCGTGCTTCTTTGGGCACCTATCAATGGAACTCCTTGTGTGTGCAAGGCGATTCCATCTTCAGGATCCAATTACAACGGCACTTTTTCCGAATCTAGTCCTTTCTGTCCAGCTTATGTCCAATGGGTTTCACATATATCAAGCAACGATAGGTTGTATCTTTAAATTTACGAAACTACTTGAGTGATCCTCTTGGTTTCTAACATTTTGAGAACATTCCATGTACCTATGTTAAGTTTTGCTCTGGTTGTGAGATTAGGCATCGACCTAACGAATTCTGAAGAGTCTTGGATTTCACCATGAGTCATCATATCTCTGCTATATGAAGACCCTTCAACTCCCAGGATAGAGTATAAATTGATTAAATAATTACTTCTGGTTAATGCCTCCTTCAGCAAATTTATTTTTTACAGGATGTGGTTGTTGACTTCATGCTCAACTCCCTACTTTACCTTAGAGAGCACCAAGCAAGTTTATTTTCAATCATAGCAGTTATGAAATCCGTCTAAGATAAAACCAGAACTATAATTCCTTGAGTTGAACACTAAGTTTTTCAAGATTAGTCAGAATCCGATTTGCTATAGCATATAACGACTAAATAATTTCATTTGTTAGAATTTGTTCTCTAACAAACTATTTTTTCTAGAAAATCCATAAAGTGAAGATTCCTTATATTCAAAGTTAGTTACTTTACCATTCGCTTAATATCATATATTTTGAACTAAAGTTTATATTTTATACGAATATTCGTCAAGATTAGAACGAATAATTTGACAGTAATTGAGCGCCGAGTATAGAGAAGTCATTATATGTGAAAATTATATTTGAAATATTCTCAGCGATTGAAATATAACTAATTCCAACGTTTCGTCCAGCTAACTTGTCTGGACTTCTTCAGGGTAATAATCAAAATCAAAATTATCAAAGATTTTGATTATTACCCTGAAGAAGTCCAGACAAGTTAGCTGGACGAAACGTTGGAATTAGTTATATTTCAATCGCTGAGAATATTTCAAATATAATTTTCACATATAATAAAGTTTATATTGTTAATCAAAATAGATTATTCAAATCAGAACATGAAATAATTGCGATCTCAATTCAGTAACTTACCTTTATTAGTTAATTTTTCTGCTACACAGTGAATTTTTGATATTTGATTATCATTAGAAGACATTGTTTCTTTTATAATATTCGATTTCAATTTCAACTTGGGATATTTCCATACAGTACATGCTATACACAAAAATACAATGGATAGAACTAAACTTATACTAATTGCTCCTGTGATAGTATATATGTAAATCAGTGAATATTTATTATTATTATTTGTCTGTGATGATATCCATTCCAATTGTGATAATTCATTATTATCCATTAAATGTAAACAAAAGTAACGTGTTGAATGTAATGATGAAATGCCCATATCTGAAGCTACAACACATAGACGACATGTTAAATTTGACAAATGATTCGGTAATTTCTTTGATAGAAATAAACTACCAGTAGTTTGATTTAAATAAAGATATTCTAATAGATTACACGATTGATTTTGGCCTATTATTGATTTACGATTTAAATTTTTACAAGTTGACGAACTTCCATTTCCAGTGTCTGGATTCTCTTGAATTGATTCAATTAAAGAATATTTGATTTCAGAATTTAAGCCTTCATCTGGATCATTGGCTTCAAACTAAAAAAAGACAGAAGAAGGAAACAATTTGCAATGTAGTTTTGTAATTACAAAATATTCTGGCTTTTATACACACTATATATGACTAATTGACTGATAAAAAATTTGTTTTTCGGTCCTTGTTGTTTTGGTCTTATCTACTTACTAACTTGTTTACTAACTTCACCTGTTATCCCTCCCGGAATATAAGCCACCGGACAGGATTCTTTTCAATCAACTCTGTCTTAAACCCACTTCCCAAGTTGTTTGCAAGTTCTACTCATTCTTTTGATTTATTTTTCAGATTCTTGGTGCAATGTGTTCTTTGGCTTTAGTACTTTTCAGATATATTAAACTCTACCATTGACAACCATGTTGAGAAACCTTTAATTCTGTGAATCAAACGTTATCATGAGTTTAATTA